AAAAAAAAAAAAAAAAAAAACCCAGCATATCTCTGGGCTCTGGTGGAAGCTTCATGATTTTGACAGGTCCTCCTCATTTCTTGGGCCTAGAGTAACACCAGTACCTTAATTTTATCAAAGAGTTTATGGGATTTTGGGCCTTATTTTCTTGTTCTTTGGGTGATCCCAAGAATGACAAGATGGCAGAGGTAGCTTGATTTTGTTATTTTAAATTATTTTGTTATTTTTTTTTAATACTTGTTACTTTTTGTTTATTTATTTATTTATTGCATTTTTTGGCTGGGGCTATGTTTGAACCCACCACCTCTGGCATATGGGGCTGGCGCCTTACTCCTTTGAGCCACAGGCGCCTCCCTATTTTGTTATTTTAAACTTTATTCAGCCATTTTAAAACAGAGTACCTCTAGGGACCATAGCACCTCAGACCGTGTTAAGTGGAAAAATAGTTTCAAACTTCTTTGCACACCCCAGTAGCAACAAGCTCTGTCATCATCACAGAGCTGGTAAGTAACAGAACTGGATTCAAATTCAGGTCTGTCTGACTCCAAAGCCTGAGTTCTTTTCATTATAGAACTTTTCTTAAAGGACACATATTTCTTTATGGATCTTTCTTATGTTTCTTCTTATGACCTTTTCTGTTAACTACTTTTTTATTTTCTGGTTTTTTAGTGTGACAAGTACAAGACTGGAGTTATTGATGGGCCTGCATGTAATAGCCTTTGTGTTACCGAAACTCTTTACTTTGGAAAATGCTTATCCACCAAGCCCAACAATCAGGTACGGACATCATAAGTAAACGTTCGAGAATTACAACATACTCTAATTTCACCTTAACTTAAAGGCATTGTTAAAATAATTTTTGAACCAGAGTTTGGGACATTATATGTGTTTCAGTTTTGTATGCTTTGATTTTAGTTACTAGGAATACAATGTTGATTAACAAGATAACTTTCCTCATGGACTTTACATTATCCTAGAGGGATAGGAGGCACAGTTGATAGGCAAATAAATAAAATAATTATAGAATATGTTTGTTCTACATAAGAGATAGACACCCAGGGGAAACCGGTAGAGAACTGCAGGGTCAGTGATGGTAGAGATGTGCGTAAGAGGAGGGGATCAGACCAGACCTTTCTGAGATAACATATGAGTTCATACCTGAGTAAGGAATTAATCTACAAGCACAGGCAGAGGACAGGATGAGCTAAATCACAAAAGAACTACAAACAACAGATAAACCAAATAAAAAAAATTTCTATCTCATCTTTCAAAGAAGTAAAACACTGGGATATTATTGGATTAGCAGAAAATACAACAAAACATTCTTGGGCGGTGGAAAATTGCATTTGTATGTTCATCTGATCATTTCCTTATTTTCCAATATGAATGGGCATTATTCTTACAGAGATTTAAAATAATGTTTAAGTTGACAATACTAATCATGTTTGTGAGGATTTCTGAAACAGAGTCCAAAGTATGAGAATGTCTGCTGCAGGCCAGGCCATGTTGGAGGCATCAAGAGAGCATGGGCAATGGGACAGATACTACATAAAACCTCTGGCCTATGTTGTGTGCCTTATGTTCTAATGTGAGAGAGGACAGGTAATAATAAGACAGGCTCAGCACCCGCGGCACAGTGGTTAAGGCACCAGCCATATGCACCAAGGCTGGCAGGTTCCAGCGTGGTCAGGGCCAGCTAAACAACGACAACTGCAACAAGAAAATAGCCAGGTGTTGTGGCAGACATCTGTAGTCCCAGCTACTTGGGAGCCTAAGGCAAGAGAATCACTTAAGCCCAAGAGATTGAGGTTGCTGTGAGCTGTGACACCACAGCGTTCTACCGAGGGCAACATAATGAGACTCTGTCTCAAAAAAAAAAAAAAAAGAGTTGATAAATAAATAAATTTGATAATTCCAGACAGTGCTAAAACATATGAGGATAATAAAACAGGGTAATGGGTGACCTGCAGGTGGAAGAGAATCTATTTTACATAGGAGTTATGGGGGCAGCACCTGTGGCTCAGTGAGTTGGATGCTGACCCCATATACCCAGGGTGGCAGGTTCGAACCTGACCCTGGCCAAACAAAAAAAATAGCTGGGCATTGTGGCAGACACCTGTAGTCCCAGCTACTCGGGAGACTGAGGCAAGAGAATTACCTAAACCCAAGAGCTGGAGGTTGCTGTAAGCTCTGACACCATAGCACTCTACTGAGGGTGACAAAATGAGACTCTGTCTCTTAAAAAAAAAAAAAAAAAAAAAAGAGTTAGGGCAACATCTGATCTGAGACTTGCATAGAGTGAAGGAGCCAGCTGGGGAGCTGAGAGAGGACATTCAAGGCAGAACCACAAGTAAAGCAGGTCATGAAACAGGTACTAGCGTGGTAGGTTCAAAGAACAGAAAGACTGGCATAGCTGGAACTTAGGAACCAGGGAGTAAGTGGTACAAGATCAACTTGGTGAAGTTCGCGAGGCCAGCTCAAAGGGAGCCTAACAAGCAGCAAAAAGGACTTTGGACTTTATTCTAATTGAATTGGAAATGTATTTGAAAGCCTTGACATAATCTGCTTTGTTTGGATTAATATTATTCATTAACATGATCCTATTTGATTTTTATGTAGAAGTGAGAGGAGGAGCCTACCTGATGGCTAAGGCCATGAGTTCTTTCCAGCATGTTACTTCATGTCTCTGCTTCAGTGTGAAATGACGATAATAATAGTACCTACCTCCAGGGTTGGTACAGGGATTAAAGTAATAAAATAAATTAGCACGCCAGACGCAGTGCCTCACACCTATAATCCTAGCACTCTGGGAAGCCAAGGCAGGCAGATTGCTTGATCTCAGGAGTTCGAGACCAGCCTGAGCAAGAGTGAGACTCCATCTCCACTAAAAATGAGAAACTGAGGGAAGAAGATCACTTGAGCCCAGGAATTTGAGGTTGCTGTGTGCTCCAATGCCACAGCACTCTACCGAGGGTAAAAAACATAACTCTGTCTCAAAAAAAAAAAAAAAATTAGCAAACCATAGGACTTATTAAACACTATATAATATTAGTTTGCTAAATAGCTAGATACTTATTAGTGAGGAAATGGGATTAGGGAAATGGAATATATAGGAACTTTGCTTTTACCTTACATCCTTCTCATTTGACTTGTTAAAATATATCCTCAGGCAGCACTGCTCTTGTAACTTAAAAAAATTAGTTTAAGGGAGGCCCCTGTGGCTCAGTGAGTAGCGCACTGGCCCCATATTCCCAGGGTGGTGGGTTCAGACCTGGCCCTGGCCAAACTGCAACAAAAAAATAGCTGGGTGTTGTAGCAGGTGCCTGTAGTCCCAAGGTACTTAGGAGGCTAAGGCAAGAGAATCATTTAAGCCCAAGAGTTGGAGGTTGCTGTGAGCTGTTATACCACTGCACTACACTGAGGGCGACAAAGTAAGACTCTGTCTCTAAAAAAAAAAAAAAAAAATTAGGTTAAGGAAAAAAAGCTTTGGAGTATGATTTCAAATTTTCAGTTCAAAAATAAAGTACAGTTCCATCTCAATGTTCTAATGCTTGTTTGTGTTTTTTTTGCAATTTTTAGGAGAGGAGGACCCTAAAAATAGAGTGTTTTTGCTTTTTTTAGTGTTTTCTACTCAGTATAATAGATTACTTGTTCTTCCTCGCATAGATGTATTTAGGGATTTGGGATAATCTACCAGGTGTTGTGAAATGTCAGATGGAACAAGCACTTCATCTTGATTTTGGAACTGAATTGGAACCAAGAAAAGAAATAGTGCTCTTTGATAAGCCAACCAGGGGGACTACCGTACAGAAATTCAAAGAAATGGTGTACAGTCTGTTTAAGGTAGGTCTGTCTACACACTTGTTGCTAGAATGAAGTAAAACCTCATCATAAACCCTTAATGTGTTGATGTCCTCTGACCTCCATCAGGGACTCCATCCTGAGGAAGTGATTTAAAGAAAAGAAAAAAAATAAAATACAGCTCAGCACCCATAGCTCAGTGAGTAGGGCGCCAGCCACATACACAGAAGCTGGCAGGTTCAAGCCTGGCCTGGGCCTGCTAAACGACCATGACAACTGCAACCAAAAATAGCCGGGTGTTATGGCAGGCTCCTGTAGTCCCAGACTCAAGTGATTCTCCTGCCTCAGTCTCCAGAGTAGCTGAGACTACAGGTGCCCGCCACAATGTCTGGCTATTTTTAGAGAGAGGGTCTTATTCTGGCTCAGGCTGGTCTCAAACTCATGAGCTCAGGCAATCCACTCGCCTCGGCATCCCAAGTGCTAGGATTACAAGCATGAGCCACCACGCCTGGCCAGAAAATGCTCCATTATTTGAACAATACTACTTGAAGAAAATAATTCTGTTAACATAATAAATACAAAATAGGAGAAAATAATTTTCTATCGACCCTTATTGTAACTTTGATGTAAGCACATTACAGTGCATTTTTGGAAGTTAAATGTATGAATGAAAAAGAATTATTATGTTTATTAATGATAACCAAGGGTTTGAAAGATATAGGAGAGTTAAGAGTGGCCATTTATTTAATAAACAAATTATCTTAAAGATGGTTTTACATGATTTACAAAACACAGTTCTAATTAGTTTCACTAATATTTGGAGATACTACGTTAGGTCCTTTATGGGAATTCAGTAGCAAGATCATTCATTCCTAGCATAGTAGTAATGCCCATAAAGGAACTTGGTATGTTATTATACATAGGTAAACTTGTTATTCATTCCTTTTGTATAAATTAGTGAAATTCTTACCTTGACAGGCAAAGTTGGGTGACCAAGGAAACCTCTCTGAACTGGTTAACCTCATCTTGACAGTGGCAGATGGAGACAAAGATGGCCAGGTTTCCTTGGGAGAAGCCAAGTCAGCATGGGCACTTCTTCAGCTAAATGAATTTCTTCTCATGGTGATACTTCAAGATAAAGAACATACCCCCAAATTAATGGGATTCTGTGGTGATCTCTATGTGATGGAAAGTGTTGAATATACCTCTCTATATGGAATAAGCCTTCCATGGGTCATTGAACTTTTTATTCCATCTGGGTTCAGAAGAAGCATGGATCAGTTGTTCACACCATCATGGCCTAGAAAAGCTAAAATAGCCATAGGACTTCTAGAATTTGTCGAAGATGTTTTCCATGGCCCCTATGGGAATTTCCTCATGTGTGACACTAGTGCCAAAAACCTAGGATATAATGATAAGTACGATTTGAAAATGGTGGATATGAGAAAAATTGTGCCAGAGAGAAACCTGAAAGAACTTATTAAAGATCGTCACTGTGAGTCTGATTTGGACTGTGTCTACGGCACAGATTGCAGAACTAGCTGTGACCAGAGTACGATGAAGTGTACTTCAGAAGTGATACAACCAAACCTGGCAAAAGCTTGTCAGTTACTGAAAGACTACCTACTGCGTGGTGCTCCAAGCGAAATTCGTGAAGAATTAGAAAAGCAGCTTTATTCTTGTATTGCTCTCAAAGTCACAGCAAATCAAATGGAAATGGAACATTCTTTGATACTAAATAACCTAAAAACATTATTATGGAAGAAAATTTCCTACACAAATGACTCCTAGTTCATATGGACATTGTTGCCATTTTAAGAAACTTACCACTTTTAAAGAACAATTTGAACATTTTAAAAAATGACTTCAGAGTCACATCCCTGCCAGTTATACAAAACTCCCTTCCTCTGTTCCTGAGAAGCTATCAACTTAAGTATACATGATTGCGGAAGTAATGGCAAGAGGTGCAGAACCTACAGTTCTTAAAGATCTCATTCCTGCCCTGTTAGAAGCCCTGACCTTTCCCAAATACATTCACGGTGTAATTACACGTATTTTCACTAATGACTTAAAATGCTGTGAAAAGTCTCATTCCATAAACATCAACAGTGAGAGTGATTTTTTAGACTTTACATTACCCAAAATACCATTGCTGGAAACATTGTGTTTGCAATGAAGCTGCTGTTTAAAGAAAATTTATAAATTTACTAATGTCTTAGCATGGTAAAGTTTGCACATTAACAAATTAAGACTGCAAAGCAGGCTAATTAAAATTACTTCTTTATAAATAGATGTTGGGGTAACAGCATGGCTTATTGAATTACAGACTTAGTAACTTGAGATATCAAAATGTTGAACTTCAGAATGTTCTAAGACAATATGCAATAGCAATTTTAGTGGTTGAAACTTAACTTTCCACTACCCCTAAAGATTCAAAGGGTCGGCTTGACACCTGTGGCTCAAGTGGCTAAGGCGCCAGCCACATTCACCTGACCTGGCAGGTTTGAATCCAGCCCTGGCCCACCAATGATGGTTGCAACCAAAAAATAGCCAAGCCTTGGGGCAGGCGCCTGTGATCCCAGCTACTTGGGAGGCGGAGGCAGGAGACTCGCTTGAGCCCAGGAGTTGGAGGTTGCTGTGACCTGTGATGTTACAGCACTCTACCCAGGGTGACAGCTTGAGGCTCTGTCTCAAAAAAAAAAAAAGAAAGATTCAAAGGGTCCATCTGAGTATCAATCAGCCAACAAAACTGATATCCTAAGGACCCAATCCAGATCCACATCTCCTGAATTTGGATTACATGGAAAATAGAAACATTAAGAACAAGATTAAAATCACTGAAGACTTTTTTAGGCGGAGCACAGTTGGTCATGCCTGTAATCCTAGCACTCTGGGAGGCCGAGGCAGGTGGACTGGCTGAGCTCACAAAGGTTCTAGACCAGCCTGAGGCAGAGCGAGACCCTATCTCTAGTAACAGCTGGATGTTGTGGTGAGCACCTATAGTCCCAGCTACTTGGGAGGCTGAGACAAGAGGATCACTTAAGCCCAAGAGTTTGAAGTTGCTGTGAGCTATGATACATGGCACTCCACTGAGTGCAATAAAGTGAGGCTCAGTCTCAAAAAAAAAAAAAACTTCAGTAATAATTTCCCACTTTTATCAGTTATTCCTGTGGGCCAAAAGTTGTTTCTTTTCTTTTTTTTTTTTTTGAGACAACGAGCCTCAAGCTATCCCCCTGGGTAGAGTGCTGTGGCATCACAGCTCACAGCAACCTCCAACTCCTGGGATCAAGCGAGTCTCCTGCCTCAGCCTCCCAAGTAGCTGGGGCCACAGGCGCCCGCCACAATGCCCGGCTATTTTTTGGTTGCAGCCGTCATTGTTGTTTGGCGGGCCAGGCTGGATTTGAACCCGCCAGCTCAGGTGTATGTGGTTGGCGCCTTAGCCACTTGAGCCACAGGCGCCAAGCCCTCTTTCATGTCATTTTCAAATATAGATGTGGCACACAACCTTTCAGCATAAATGAAACTGTAAAATGAACTACCACCTTTAGGAGAAAAACTCCAGAATTTTCTGCTCAGATTTCACCTGGTTAAAGTGAGGGTGTTAATTGAACTTCACCAGATAGCGATCTCAAAACTTAAAGCCATGGATCAACACCAATTTGCTTTATTTAGGATTGTACACTTTGAAGGTACTTTCTCTTCCCACTGATCATCTGATTATAATAAATGGATGGAAGAAGTATCTCCTAGTGATGGCTGGTCTGTTGCTTGCCAGATATTTAAGGAGAGTTGCACATCTTACAGTGTGAGGAGTAAAACCTCCTGTCAGGGAAAACAGCAGCTCAGGTATTTGTGAACTGTGTTGGATACATACAAGGTAACTTTTTCTGGAAAAGCTTTACTTATTTTCCTTGAGGATAAAACCTGCCAACTCCTTTGCCTTTATAAAATAGTTTAGGACATTTCCTACAGTTTCACAACACTAAGAACTTAATACAGAAAGTTGCTTAATGAATAAGTTTATTGTTTTAAATCAAGAAATATTCATATAAAATTGGTTGGTTTAGCTTTCAGCAGCCCGCTCCTGAGCTCTAAGGAAGCTTGCCTTCTTTTGAGCTACCCGATCTTTCTTCTGGGCAAGGGACATTTTGGGACGGTTCCATCTATAAAACAAAAAATAACAATATGCTTTTTAAAACTGTAACTAAAGAGAATACATGAAAACTACAGATGGAGGTTAAGTAATCCAAGTTCTAATACATATTACTTATTTTAATTAAGCTAACTTTGCAAACCCCAACTTCCATGATGTCCTATCACCCACAGGGACAAAAATCAAACCAACTTCTGGGTATTTACCCAAAATATTTGAAAATCAGTTTGTTGAAGAGATCTACACTCCCCTGTCCATTGCAAAACTACTCGTAATAAATAGCAAAAAGGCAGGGCGAGGTGGCTCACAGGTTTGACACCAGCCTGAGGACAAAAGCGAGACCCCATCTCTGCTAAAAATAGAAAAAAATGAGGCAAGAGGATTGTTTCAGCCCAAGAGTTGGAGGTTGC